GTTTATGTGAACAGTTCCCATTCAAGCCACTATGGTCCTGAAACACAACGGGCCGCTGATATACAAAGGTGAGAATATTTATCTCCAGTGCAAGATCACAGGAGGAGAAGGAACAAAGTGGACGTATGAATGGAGACCAACTAGGTTAAATAAACCTGAAACATCCAATGAATACATTAACATACATTCAGCTAATGAGTCTCATAGTGGAGAATACAGCTGCAGAGGAACTAATGGGAGTGACTCAACAGCCTGGAGCGATGCTGTCATATTAACTGTGTGTAAGTTGGTCATAAATCTTTCATATAAAAACATTATTGCATATTTTCTAATGTGTTTGATGCAAATAAGTGATAATTAGTTAAAATATTAAGGTTTTTTCATTATCAATGTTTGTTCTTTAAACTAGTTAGTCTGATTCTTTGGATTACCAACCCACTTCTTCCTTACAGATACAAAACGACTGATATTTTAATTAAAATATGTTATGGGTTGAGCACAAATGTCTGTTTCCTCCCAGAACTTTCTTAGTTTTAAAGGTACAAACTTTTAGTTAAAGGTATATTTGACAATTACACAAGAATAGCTAACATAAATAAAAACAAATTTTCTCATTGAGTCATTTCTGAGGGTTTGAGAAAATGAAATATTTCAAAGTTAGAACTGCATGAATTCCTTCATAAAATGCAGAGGAATGTGTTAGAGGAATAAAATGCTTTACCAACTGTCTGGAAATAATCTGAGTTCTCTAATTACACTGAGTTATTAGATAAGAGATATTTTTCTTTAAACTGAAGCCTTTTATTGACATAGAAAAACTCTCTCCAACAGATAAACTCTCTGTGTCTCCATCATGGCTGAGTCCTGGAGCCTCAGTGACTCTGAGCTGTGAGGTTCAACATCCACCTGCAGGAACCAGGTTCTTCTGGTATAAAGCTGTTCCTGATCCATCAAACATCTTCTACAACTATGACCTGCTGCCTGGCAGCTCCAATGGGACTGATGAGAACGTCTACATTGTTCATGGACTCAATAACACAGCAGGTTATGTGTGTGAAGCAGGAAGTGGAAAACCAACTAACAGAAATCCAACTTTTGTCTGGTCAGCAGGTCAGTTTATCTGTGCGTCTCCACTCAGTGAGTAAAAAATGATGTTTTTACATTATTTCTACTGATCCATGAAGTTTATCCTTAACAGTAATTTAAAGTTGTTGGATTCATTATCAATGTAAAAAAGAAATGTTAAAGTTTTATCTTGGTTTTCAAATATTGTTGAATTTATCCAAAGCACAATAAAAACATAAAATGATAAAGTGAAAAGTAAAAGTTTTGGTGTATTTGACAACAACCCCCCCTCCGACCAAAATCACTAATGAACTGCAGTTTGTCTTTTGAGACAAAGTTTTTGTTGAAAACATTTTGTTTGATTAATTTATTGCTTTGATAAAATGTATATTTGAAACTAAAGACAATAAATAAAGCCATAGATGATTTGGATGTTTCTATATTTATTTTCCAGATCCTCATCCAGCAGCTTCTCTCTCAGTGAATCCTGACAGAGTTCAACACTTCAGATCTGAATCTGTGACTCTGAACTGTGAGGGAAACTCTGCTGAGTGGAGAGTGAAGAGGGTTACAGAAAGAGGAGATCTGTCAAACTGCTCCATCTGGGGGGAAATGAATGAATCTACATGTATCGACATCTTCCTGCTTCATAGTGGAGTTTACTGGTGTGAGTCTGGATCAGGAGAGTTCAGCAACGCAGTGAACATCACTGTACCTGGTGGGTTATGATTTATAAACTTT